ACACCAGAGGGGGCGGGACGGGGAGGAGGAGGAGGAGGGGCAGGGACTACCGGGGAAGGGGTGACCAGGAACAGGGGGGGGGTAACCGGGGGACCACGGTGGGGGAAGCGGCGGTAGTAGGAGACGGACTCGTCAAAGGTGACGTCACGAGAGTGAAAGAAGCGGTGAGACGGCGGGTGGTAAAAGTGCCAGTCGGACGCGTCAAGGGGAAAACCGAGGAAGACGCAGGGAAGGGTGCGGGCAGTGAGCTTGTCCGTGCCGGAGGCACGGACGTGAGCAAGGCAGCCCCAGACGTGGAACGCAGACGCGTCACCAGGAGACCCAGTCCAAAAACGGGTCGGCGAAACCTGCGGCTGCTGAGGGTGCGGCCACAGGTTAAGCTGGTGAGAAGCGTAGCGCACAGCGAACGGCCACAGAAAATGGGGTGCACCGGCATGGACCATGGAGGTGCGAGCGACCTCCATGACCAAACCGATGCGTCGCTCAGCGACCCCATTCTGCTGTGGGGAGTCCGGTAGGGTGAACGTCTGGGTGATGCCCTCCGCACGACAAAAGCGATCAAGGACACCTGAGGCAAACTCGCCACCACGGTCTGGGTGAAGACGCAAGACAGGGAGACCGCGGTGGACACGCGCAGAGACAAGCCAGGGGATGAGGGCGCCAGGCACGTCGGCCTTGCGCTCCAGGGGAAAGACTGTGGTGTAGCGAGTGAAGTCGTCGACAAGCACAAGGAAGTAGCGCTCGCGACGCGGCCCAGGGACGGGGGCGGGGCCCCAGACGTCCAGGTGCAGGGTCTGCAACGGCGCGGCGGTAGGGGGGAACGAGGAGGAGTGAGGGGCACGGCGAAGCCGACCCTCGACACAAGGCGTGCAAGGTGGAGCTGGGGAGGAGGGAAACGCGGGGAGTGAACCTGGGAGACCAAGGACAAGACCGTGCTGGGACATGTGACGCAGACGCGGGAGCGCAGGGTGACCTAGGCGGTGGTGCCACAGGAGGGTCGGGTGAGTGAGGGGGCGACAGGAGCAGGCAGCAGCAACCTGGGTAGACACAGCCACCTGAGGGGGCGCTCCAGCCGGGGGGGGCACGGTGTCCAGAGTGAACAGGCCGGACACCGGGTCCCGGGGGAACGTGGACAGGGGGGCACCAGTGGCGGCCTCGGTACAGACAGCATACCGCTCGTGACCAGGGAACGTAGTGGTGACGCCAAGGCCCTGGAGGCAGCCGACACCGACTAGGTTCCTGGAGAACGAGGGGATATGCAGACCTGTGAGAGAGTCCGAAGGAACCGCCAGACAGGGAAGGGTGGTGGAACTGCGGGCGACTACCGGACCGCCGGAGGGGTCAGCAAGAGAAACGGCAGCAGGAACAGGAAGCGGCGTCAGGGTGGTGGAGTCGCGGAAGAAACACCGAGAGGCGCCAGAGTCCAAGGTGAAGGAAAGCGAAGCCGAGGGGTCTGGCGACGGAACGACGGCAGAAGCACCAAGACTACACAAAGCAGGGGATCCTACGCCTGACGCAGCAGGGGAGGCTAAGCTAGGCACATCTACACTAGGCAACAGTGAGTAATAAGTCGGAAGCACACTAGAGTCATCAGCATACAGCACATGCAGAGCAGAAACAATGGCATCCATGTCCATATCAAAGATCTGAATCTGACGACTAAGCAAACTGTGCCAGTCCGGGAGGTCTGGCGACGGGCCGAAACGCTGACGAAAGAGGTCGTCCAGGCGACGAAAGCAGCGGGGAGTGGAGTGACCGATCTTACCGCAAACGAAGCCGCGGCGAGGACCGGTCTGGATCTGGTACTGACAACGCCCGCCGGCAGAGCCACCACGCGGCACACCACCCCGCGCCCGTCCACCGCCAGCTCCGGGCCACCCTGGCGGGAGAACGCTCGTCTGCCGCGTCTGCGACGGCTGCTGCGGCTGCTGCGAAGGCTGCGACTGCGGCGGCTGCTGCGGCTGCTGCAACTGCAGGGGCGGCGACTCAGCTGGACTGGGCAGGGTCCCCTCGTCCGCTCCAGCACCAGGCGACCCGACCCCACCACTACCCCCGCCCGCACCCCCGCCGCCCCCTCCGCCGCGCCCAGCCTTGCGGCGGCGGCCCTTCCCAGAACGGGCCTGCGCTGCAGCAGCAGTCTCAGCCACTGCGGCAGAGCCGTCGGAGAAGGTACACTGAGCGGGGGCACAACCCTGAAAGATAGGGACTGGCACGACACCGCTCGCCTGGGCGATGGAGCGGTGACGGGTCTCTATCACAGTCAGGGTGTCCACAAAGTCAGTGAGGGTGAGGTCTGCGGGGTGAACACTAAGGAAGCGGTCGCGGGCGACAGCAAGGCGGTCAGGGAGGCGGGTGGCAAGCAGGTAGAGGGTAGAGGTAATGGGCGGCTGGTGGCTCTAAGCTGTGCGTCAGTGCAGGCGGCGCGCCAGGTCTCCTCTATCGAGCGCAGGTGGGCAGCGAGGTCAGAGACAGTGGGGAACGAAGCAAGGTCAGGAAAGAGCAGCGGGAGGATCAGGCGACCCACCGAGGCAGCCGGAGGGGTGGAATAGCGCTTGATGACAGCATCTAAGTATGCCTGAGCAGTAGTGAGGGACCTAAAGTGAGGACGCTCGGACGGGGGGAGGGCGTTGCTAATGGCAAGCTGGGCGACAGCATCGCGAGAAAGCCAGACAGAGCGCGCACGGGCAGTGGCAGCAGTAGACTCACGCTCAGTGGGTGTGGGGTCAGCGGGCAGAATAGCAGGAGGGTCTGGGCAGGGGAGCGTACCGTCAAGGTGTGCGGAAAGCGGTTCACCATCCTGCCGCTGGCCAGTGAGTTGGCGGCGGAGGTCGGCAAGCCACGCCTCGAACTCTAGGGGCTGACCTTCAGCGTCGAAGCGAAGCTCCGCCGCCATCAGGAACAGTCCAGTGCTGTGCAGGGCGGTGCAGCTAGGTGGGGTGCGGTGCAGTGCGATACAGTGCGGTGCAGTGCGGTACAGTGCGGTACAGTGCGGTGCAGTGCGGTGCAGTGCGGTGCAGTGCGGTACAGTGCGGTGCAGTGCGGTGCAGGGCGGCACGGAGCAGGGCGGGGTGGGGGGGGGGGGGGGGGGGGGGGGGGACCGTACCAGTGAGGAGGACGGGGCCGGGGCTGGCCCGACGGGGCCGGGCAGGCGCGACGGGGCCGGGCTGGTGCGACAGGGCCGGGACGGGGCGACGGGGCCGAGCGGGCGCGACGGGGCCGGGCTGGGGCGACGGGGCCGGGCGAGTGCGGCAGGGCCGGGCCGGTGCGACGGGGCCGGGCGAGCGGGACGGCGGCCGGGCTGGTGCGACGGGGCCGGGCGGCTGCGACGGGACCAGGCAGGGTGCGACGGGGCCGGGCGGGCGCGACGGGGCTGGGCAGGGTGCGACGGCGCCGGGCGGGCGCGACGGGGCCGGGCGGCGGCAACGGCGCCGGGCGGGCGCGACGGGGCCGGGCGGCGGCGACGGCGCCGGGCGGGCGCGACGGGGCCGGGCGGCGGCGACGTGGTCGGGCGGGCACGACGGCGCCGGGCGGGCGCGACGGGGCCGGGCGGCGGCGACGGTTACGACGCGGCCCAGGAGGGGTGCTACGGGGCCCAGGAGGGGCACGACGGGGGGGGGGGCCAGGAGAGGCGCTACGAAGCCCAGGAGGGGCGCGACGAGGCCCAGGAGGGACGCTACGGGGCCTGGGAGGGGCGCGACGGGGCATGGGAGGGGCGCGACGGGGCCCAAGAGGGGCGCGACAGGGCCCAAGGAGGGCGCAACGGGGCCCAGGAGGGGCGCTACGGGGCCCAGGAGGGGCGCGACGGGGCCCAGGAGGGGCGCTACGGAGCCCAGGAGGGGCGCGACAGAGCCCAGGAGGGGCGCTACGGGGCCTGGAAGGAGCGCGACGGGGCCCAGGAGGGGCGCGACAGAGCCCAGGAGGGGCGCTACGAGGTCTGGGAGGAGCGCGACGGGGCCCAGGAGGGGCGCTAGGGGGCCTGGGAGGGGCGCGACGGGGCCTGGGAGGGCGGTACAGGGCCCAGGAGGGGCGCTACGAAGCCCAGGAGGGGCGCGACGAGGCCCAGGAGGGGCGCTACGGGGCCCAGGAGGGGCGCGACGGGGCGCTACGGGGCCTGGGAGGAGCGCGACGGGGCCCAGGAGGGGCGCTAGAGGGCCTGGGAGGGGCGCGACGGGGCCTGGGAGGGGCGCGACGGGGCCTGGGAGGGCGGTACAGGGCCCAGGAGGGGCGCTACGAAGCCCAGGAGGGGCGCAACGAGGCCCAGGAGGGGCGCTACGGGGCCCAGGAGGGGCGCGACGGGGCGATACGGGGCCTGGGAGGAGCGCGACGGGGCCCAGGAGGGGCGCTAGAGGGCCTGGGAGGGGCGCGACGGGGCCTGAGGGTGGGGGGCGCTACAGGGCCAAGGGGGATGAGCGGAAGCGGTAGGTGGGGGGGGGGGGGGGGATCCTACCTACGCGTGATACCATATCAGAAATTAGAATTGAATAAAAGGTAATGTGAGAGTACACACAAATATATCTAAGTTTTGTATCCTCTAAGAGGTGACTCTATACAGTCTATACAAACATGACAAATACACATGTTTGACACTGGCAATGCTGTTATTTTTTTCCCAGTGGCGAGGCTCGTCAGGCGTAACTGCCAGACGGAGATATAATCCGACGTGGCAATGACACCAGCCTAGCAACACTCGCCACAGAATGCTGATTTTTTTTCCCGTCAATAAGAGGCAAAACCCCCGAGCTCGCCACTGGATGCATTACGCGTCACACACTCGAATTTCTGAGTTACACTACCGATAGTTTTGGTTAAATAACACGATTACGCGAATTTCAGTGCGATGGGGCACTTTCTGACCGAGAAAAAAACAAATCTTCTTTCAGAGCTGCAAAACCGCGGCTGTTTGAACGCACCTTCTCTGCTTGCGGGTTCAGAGCTGCAAAAACGTGAATTCCTTATGCTCGATTCTTCCTCCTCTAACTTCTGTCTCACGTTTTTCTCTTCCCCACTTCCAGCAATTCGTGATTCTAGATCTGGTGATTAGGCAGCAACATGACAGCAGCTACGACTGCCTTTTCTTATCGCAGCTGTACGACAGACTACTCCAGGTCGGCATTAAGAGTGGCTTGATGACATTTTCGTGTAGTCGTATCTTACTAGTTTCTCTATGTTTCTTCTCTCGTTTTTTCCTCAAGCTAGTAGAGGAAACGTAAATGGTCTCTTTCAGCTCAGGTACTCGGTACGGATTCTCATCTGTCGTTTCCCCTCTCCTTTGCCCGCCTTTTCACCCTCCTAGTCCGTCGTAACCACTTCTTTGCCCGCCGTCTCCCCCCTCCTTGCATGTCGTTTTACCTCTCTCTCTCTCTCTCTCTCTCTCTCTCTCTCTCTCTCTCTCTCTCTCTCTCTCTCTCTCTCTCTCTCTCTCTCCCTCCCTCTCTGCCTCTCTCTACCTCTCTTTCAACTTCTCTCTCGTCCTCTCTTTCCTTTCACCATCACATTTTGTGTTAACTTCCCATGCCCATTCGTTCTCGCCCTAGCTGCTTGTTGTTCACTCATTTCATACGCAATGCCTAATATAATATCCACTTTAATTTTGTGCAGGTTTTCTTGTAAACGCGATTATGAGTTCCCTACGGCGTTTTGCTGTAATTCGTTGGGATGTTCAATTATCTCATTTTCAGCTTTATATTCTTATAATTGCTGGCGTCCTGTGTTTGGTCTGATGTGTCTTGCTGCTGTTATTTGCTCTCATTCTCGATCCACAGCAATGTATGTCTGTATTTCGAAAAAAGAAAGCATGCTTATCAAATCACAAACGGTTCACAGGCGAGCTCCTTGAGTTTCTGTCTCGAACTGGATTTGATAGGTTTTGGTTCTTTTTTTTGTACATTACAGATTGCGTTGCTCCATCATTCAGACACTAGGCTTGCTGACTTCCCCCCCATGCTAGCGCTGGGGAAGCGGTAGCTTAGAGTTTGAGTTTTTCACTATCACATAATCATCAAATTCTTTTTTTCATGTCATGAATGATGACATGAATTTTCTTGCACGCCTTGATTGGATCCGTACACAACGATGTGATGCAATCAAACAAGAGGCCTGCCAAAATTTCATAGTATACCAGAAATCAACCAAATATAATGCAAACATTATTTCAAAATATATGCATTTGAAACCTATCATAGAATAAACACCTCTAGCATTTTGTTACATTCATAGGAAGAGAACAAAAACTGCAGGTCATATTTTATTGTGCAAAGGTTTTCCATCCAAACTTTTGAGTGAAAAAAAAAAATCGGCAAAATCGATCGTAATAGGTTGCTCCGCAACCCAAAAAGGTTCCACAACTGGTCAGTAGAAGTAACCCCTGCCGGTCTCGGAACGTTTTCCCGCTCGCGCCAGCCCAATTTCGTCATCATGGCGGTTTTTTTTTTTTTTTTTTTTTTTTTTTTTTTTTTTTTTTGGGCTTTAAGGAGATCCCAGAAGGAAAAGGCGTTTACATTTGAGAAATTTGCCAACGCGCAAATAGACGGGGTAGGCGAACATCGACGAGAGCGGTGACCAGGGCTCAAATTAGCCGGGTAAAATGCCCTGATTGCCCTGATTTTTCAGGGCATTTTTTCATTTGGTCTTAAAAATCAGACATACGAAATTTACTACCCTGATCCAAAAAGTGTTACGAAAATATTACCCTGCCGAAACTAGGGTTGCGGGGCCCCGAACCCTGACCCTTCAGGGCGTCCTGAAAACTACCCTGGTATCGAAACTCCGAGATTCCGACTAAGTCCTTGGCGGCCAGAAACATTTCCCCCAAAACACCCTGCAACCAAAATTTTCGACAAAGTCCCTGGCGGCCAGAGTCATTCCTCCCACCCCACGCACCATGCAAGCCAGCAATTTCGGCTAAGTCGTAGCTAGAGTCATAGCTCCCTCACCCCCTCGCAACCCAGGAATGGCTAAGTCCCCCACAAGAGACATGCCTCCCAACCACACCCCCGCTACTTTTTTTTTTTTTTTTTTTTTTTTTTTTTTTTGGTTGCGGAGCAACCTATTGCAATCGATCGGGCTGGTTTTTTTTTCAAGTTTGTGAAATAAAAATCAAATGTTGTGATGTATAATAAAGTCTCATCATGAAATGCTCCGCAACCCTAAGACGATCTCGTCGCCTCTTGTTTTTTTTTTTCGCTAAGTCCTCCACACCACAGCAAGACACGTCACGTCGTATACGCCCTTCTGCTACCCAACCAATCACGAGCAGATGGTTTTTTTCCCGCCCCTCTGCCGCCCATGTAAATCTGATTCCCCTCTCGCGCCCCAGAATCGTTTTCCGTCCCATCCCATCCCCCAATCTCCCCCAGCACGCGCAAATCCGTTACACACTTCTTTCCACACCTCAGTGCAGCCCACTTTGTTCATGTAAAATGTTCCTTAAATGGCCAAGGCTAGAAAGGGTGCAAAGAGTTCTACACTTGAAGCAAAGACTTTGAATTTTTTTACCCTGCCAAATCAGACGTAGAATTTTTTTAGCTCTGACCGTCAGGGCTTTTTTTTTTTCCTACTCTAATCTCAAAGAGTGGCCTAAAACCAATTTTGGGCCCAGGCGGTGACCAGTCCTGTTTGCGCATCCGGATCAGAGCCCTAGATTGGTTTTGAGGCTTCCTGATCCATCAGGATTCTCCCTGTAGAAAAGTCTGAATTTTCAGGGTCCCCTAAAAAAAAATCTTGAGCCATCAGAATTACTTAAAAAAAAAAAAACTGATTTTTCAATCTTTCTATACATGTTATAGTTCGTGAGTTTTGTGTGTTCAAGTCTCGATTTTGGGGGGTGCTGCTGGGAATTTGTAGCGAATCCGCGCGTGTGTGGCGAGATTGGGGGATGGTCAGGAAACGACAATTGGTGGGGGGGAGAGGGGGGAAGGGCTGAATAGGGGGGGAGGCGACGAGATTGCAGGGGCGGAGGGAATCTCTTCCCTCGCAGAGCCCTAGGGCAGGCGCACATCAAGCAAATTCAGCCAAGGGCCAGCAATTGCCCTCACACAATCCTCAGCACACCTCCCTCACATGACCTCCAACATACAGCGCGGAGATTTTTTTTACCAAGGGCCAATCAGCGCCCTCACACAGCCTCGGGGGATGGGGGAATGGGGGGGGGAGAACCTCGAAATTCTTGACTGTCCCCCCTAGACATGCTTTTGGAAAGGACTAAGACCCGCTACAATGCTGAGAAATTCAGGGTTCGCTAAGAAACCTTGCTGAGCGATCAGAGTTTACCCTTACAAAAAGCCTGCAAAAACAGGGTGTGTCATTTACAAAACCCTGCACAATCAGGGTAAGTACCGAGAAACTCCCTGTTTTTTTCCTGAATCAGGAAAATTTTCCTGACTTCTGGGGGCCTGATCCGGATTCATTGCAGAGTAATATAAAACACGCCCCCGATTGTAATCGGCTCACGACATTGTACAAACATTACTCACACAATTTGTGGGACAAACGTGGAGGAACATGAATGGCCGGTCTTGTGGTTGTTGGATTTTCCAAAAAGTGATGTGGATTCGGCTCCGAACATTGGTTGACGAGTCTGACACAAACAGCCAGTGTCAGATCGCCTGCCATTGAAAGTCGTCGCACGAGCACACTGATTGGTTATCGAAAAATGTTGCCAATTGACTGTAATGAGTACTGTTTACATGACACGGGTACACTTTGCGTACAAGGAGATGCCCTTAAGGATAAATTGCTTATGGAATACTTCTGGGCGTAAAAGGGGGTCGTCTACAAGGCCTATGACATGCGCGACAGAACTATATACAGTATTCCCAAATTAAAAATCGTTGGACGTCGCGCACACAAATTCCCAAAATTGAGACCTTGCGCATTTATGTCACATAAGCTAATTGGGCCACAGCGGGTGCGACATTTTTCAAACATTAACAAACGCAAAAAAAAAACGAAAACATTTGACACGAAAGGGAAAATCTATACAGGATCGGCGCTAAGCCAATGAGGCGTGAACATTAAACGGTATGCTAATTTGTTTCGAGCATGACAAGACATGTAGAGTCGTAATTCGGTGGAAAACTTTTCCGGTAAATACATTTCTTGAAAAAAAAAAAAGAAAAAAAAACACAACCGACAGACTTCTAATAGATTTGTTGTATTGAAATTAATACAAAATTAAATGCAGTTCTGAGAGTACCTTGACGTGCTTTTAAACATATTTATTTCCCAAAAAAAAAAACTTGTAGCTATCTTTATATGTTATTGTTTTCGGGCGATTCGGGAATGACAACAAGTTTATGGCTTGACTTTTTTTTTTTGGGCCGTAAATGCGTCGCAATTTTTAGAGACAAAGTCGCAATTTTTAGTCGTCGCGGGACGCGCGACCCTCCGTGACAAAAGTATGTGCTTCGAAACAAAATCGTGTTACTCGACTAACAAATTTTCAATGAATCTAAATTTGGGCATTCTGCGGTTTTCGCTCGAACTGCGCCTGGAGCTCGGGAAAAATATTGTGCCAGCCACAATGATGACAAAATTGGGCTGGTGCGGGCGGGAAAACGTTCCGAGACGGGCGGGGGTTACTTCTACTGACCATTCGTATAACTTTTTCCTGCAGTTTCTGACTAACGGTAGATCCGATTGATGAGTGATATTGCGAACTCGCTAATTCTGATTTTTTTTATCGTGCCACTGACCGTACATGTTATCGAGGCCCCTAATACTGAGCGTCGATATACTTTCCCGACAAATCGTGGCGATGGTTCCTGTCTTACTCTGGTAGGGTGTAGTAGGGCTTGTGTGCTTTATGTGTGCTTCAGAAATGCTGTTATGAATTATAACTCAGAGTATAGCGCAGAATAATATAGGGGAACGTGATTCCAGAATGTCGATAGAAATGAGGCCTAGGCAATATATAGGGCGATTGACCAGGGTTGAATGTCGAGGGCTGGACCAGTCAAGGGCTAGTTAGTCGCGGGGGTCACGGGGTCAAAATGGATTCGGGGCGACTCGGGATCAGGTTGGGGCCGTCGAGGTCGGCGGGGGCTGGTTTGTTGCGTGACTTGAGGGCCGAGCCTGCGGAACCGAGAGATTCGCGTGTACTCGTTGTGACGAGCCCCAGTAAGGAATCGTAATTCCTTACACTCTCCCACCTTCTAAAGGAAGGCACTCCCTTTATCGAGGCCGAACACTCATTATAAGTAATCCCCGATGTGACTGTAAGTCTTCAGCCCTGTGACGAGCGTAATGATTACGCCGGCCTGACGAGGTCTTGAGATCGAATTGAAATCAAGGGCTAGAAAGCATCGAAACGATCGTTTTTAACTGTAGCCATCGAAGATGTCGAATTCTTTTGCTTACCAAACGGGCAAGGGTAAATACTCCAACGGAAGAATGTGAAAAGTAAATATGTCGAGTGGTCGATTGATGATCATGCGTGGCAGATGAATATCTTGAAATGATGAATGGCGAATATCGTGGTGGCTGATTAAATGAATAACACGTTCACCGATACGCGATGTCGTTCGTGTCACATGCGAGATCACGCATCTGTGTCTCACGAAAGACAACGAACTCCATCAACGAAGTAACGAAATCAGGTGCGGAAGCATAAAGATGACGAATGTCGGTCGAAAGTGGATAATGGAACACACCGGAAGGGTCTTCTAAAATTTGCAGCACAGCTGCACTTCTCCCCCCTCCAAGAAGAAACAGCTCGCAATTTCCTAGGTGAAACTCCAGGAAACCCAAGGCTCCAGA